CAAGTAAATTCAACTGCTATTATTTATGCTGTAAATTAAGTTCCCACCCACGTTTTATTTTACTTCTTTTGTGCACTTAACTTTATTCTCGATTTATTATCATTGCTATTTTTTTTTTACTGGTGATAAATCAAGGAATGAAATAGTTTTTACACGCCATGAATGTAATTTGAAGATTGATTAAACTTTCTATCTTTGATACGTAATTTGATCTAGTTATCTATACACTGAATGTTGACGTATGTCTGTTCTTTTTGTATATTTGCGGGAAGGGGAAGGGGTGTTTGTTTTGCGCGTGCGCGTGCGCGTGCGTGCGTGTGTGTGTGTGTGTGTGTGTTTGCATGTGTGTGTGCTTGTGTGTGTGTGTGTGTGTGTGTGTGTGTGTGTGCGTGCGCGCACGCGCGTGTGTGTGTGTGTGTTGTTTTATGTTACACAGAGAGATATATATATATAGAGAGAGAGAGAATAGCATCTGGGGTGAATTGGTTAGACTCTTCGGCGATGCAAGCGAAAGTAATAAGTTCAAGTCTTGTGTGTATGATTCTATTTCATCGAGTTTCTCCATCCGCCTACAAAAAATCCATCAGCCCACTCAGCTTATGCCATGCATCTCATCTCCTAAATGTGAGGCATTGTGGTGAAATCAGGCGCTTGTCAAAATAATGAAATCAAAGACATTATCATTTTTCTTACCGTTGGGCAATATTTTTCTAATTTTCTTATTTTGTCTCAACACCTTTTATATCCATTTAAAACACACATTGCTGTATGGATTTCACTGGAAAACATTGATTACAGGCACAAAAAATGTCATTTTTCAGTTGCAAAGGACTCTCAAGCTATTAGAATTACCAAACTATTTTTTTAAACAGCAAGGCAAATGAACATGCTTTAAGATGATACCAGAGAATCGACGAACGTCTGATTCCACCTTGTCACGAGACAAATAGTCTTTCTTACATTGATGAAAGCGACTGATTACAGCTTATCAGTGAGTGGTTGGCAGGTACCCTGGTGTGGCTATCTCTTTTTTATATATCAAACATCTATCGCCGTTCTCTTCTCCTTCTTTTCTTTGTATGTTTACTCTCCAGTAAAACCTCTAATCTTTGACGGCACATGTGTGACCTATTAGTGTTGCAAATGCCGCAAAACTCTTACTAAGACTAAACAATGTATCAACCGAAGACGGAGCGTAGGACCAAACGCCTCTGCTTCGATTCACATGCGATTGTATTGTATCGATTTCAATCAATTCGGTGATTCCTAGCATATTGTTCGTTTTTCGGCACTTTTAAATACTGTGCAAGCTTATTTAAGAAGCAGGAACTCCGAATTTGGCGTTCACATCTGATTGATAGGAAGAAAAGAGCCAAAACAGTGCAGCACCAAACTCCTGACACGAAAATAACTCAAGCTCAATAACGCCCTTTTGAGGATTTGAACCAGGGATATCAGCACCGCTATTCAGCGTGATACCACCTGAACTAACGGCTTGCCACCCACTCCCTCAACCCCCCCAGCCATTCAGTCATATATGGCAAACACCTGATTCATATACGTTTTTTAAAAACCTTTTAACCAAGATGTTTTTCACTCAAATATCGACTCAATTAGATCATTTAGGAGGCGGGCTTCCGACCCTGCCAGTAAGGGCCAACCCGGACTGAGAGGGATGCAACATCCCAGTAGAAAGACCGAGATACCTATAATAAGTAGCTCATTCTCGCACAAACTTTTGGTCAAACTTTTTAACGTCAAAAGTATGGAGTTTGACGTTCTCCCTTTAGGCTCAATATTGTGCAAGCAGCAATGATCAGTTTGTGCCTAGACGTCGCCATGTACATACCAACAGCGTTGGCTCTTGCTTAATTTTAGTCTTCAGGCGAAAAAACATGAAACGAAAGTGGAGCAAAAAGTGGTTTTTGGACTTTTGGGAGACGTTGACCTTTTTCAGTTCCTATCTAAAATTTGTCCGTGACAAGTTGATCTTCTTCTTCAACTCATCTTTCGCCCTGTCCTTATACCACTTGCGATATTTGTCCAGAAGAATCTGATACGCATCATTTAAAAAAAAAATTCTATCAGAATAATCATTGCTTTTCCCTTTCCAAAGCGCGGATTAACTCTGATATACATCTATCAGCTAAAGAAGAAATTTTTTCTCCTCTTTAGATGGCGCCATGTTGAGGTTTTCTATCCCGCGGCAAATAAAATAAATGAAGTTTGCGCAAAATATGGATGGAGTACCACACACGCACAAATAATCTGATGGTTTGCGCCAAAAAATCTAATCGTTTGGATACACTCAAAATTTTGACATCAATATTTTTAGGACATCAAGATTAGCCATACATGATCAAAAAATGGTCAAATAGTTGTGATAATATGGGCCGCTATAGAAACAAGTACAAGTTTCTTTGTTCTTGAACTTATATATACAGTGCCCTGAGCGGTGTGCACGCACACGGGAGTTGCTGTAAAAATGATGTGCATTATT